TCTGAATACTCTTATGTCCAAAATCTCTTACAATTGATTTGTCATTCTGATTCTTAATTTCTTAAATATGATGCTTTTACCTCCCAGTTAAAGTTTTTAGAATGTCTTCTTATTCCTCATGTTTTTCATTCATTCTGATGGACACTCAGAGGTGGCTATACCTTGATCTGGATATCTATCAAAGGTATCTATCAAAGAGCAGGAAAAAAACAAAAACTTGGGTTTCACACAGTGGCCCACATTGTTTATAGTAGCTTTACTCATAATACCAAAAGTTGGAAACAATGCAGATGCCCCTTAATTGGCAAGTAGACAATGACTATTCATCAATAAAGGAATAAACTGCTGACTTATTAAAGAACTGGTTAATCCTGAGGTTTGGGCAGGGAAAATACAGAATGAGCCTAAAGCATTTTGTGGTGCCAAAAGAAAGAAAGTGCTTAAAAGAGGAGGTGGAGGGAGCACATCAAAACATCATAGGAGTCAACCTAAAAACTCCCAATGGCCAAGGTTGGAACTTGAAAAAACAAAATGGTGAAAGTACTAGATTATAACCCAAAAGACAAAATATTCATAAGTCCATATAGATATAAATAAATGCAAATAAATAAGGAAGAAGCAACTAGTCTTCTTTATAGAAAAACTACAATTAATAAATTTATTAGAAATGAGAGAAATAGAAAAATCACCATTTAGAACACTATACTAAAGGTTAGTGGACAACAGCTTAAACAGATATTTGCATGGTCATAAAGTATTTCACCCTAATTATTTAGTAATCATAAAAGGAAACAGTGATTTTACAGTGAAAAAAGTCCTGTCTTTAGAACTTTGGCAAATGACTAAGGTTAAAATCCCCAGTAATTTACAGGGATATCATGTATTTACTCCCTGATACCATGCACTGAGAAGCACATCACATCTGAAACATCCTTCCAAATAATGCATAACTTCAATCTAATCACGAGAAAACATCAGAAAAGCCCAATTTGAGAAACTTCCTAAGAAACAACTGAAAGTTGAACTAAAGAAAAGTTCAAAGTGACAGGTGGGAAAGATGAGACTGAGGAACCATCACAGAGTGAAAAGACTGAGGGAGACATAAGAACTAAATATAGTCTCAACTGGAATCTGGAAGAGAAGAGGCACATCAATGGAAAGACTGGTGAAACAAGAATAAGTTCTGTATGTTAGTTAACAGCACTGTATCTAAGATAGCTGTACCAAGGAATAATGTCCTATTGGCTGTAGATGTTAACATAAGGGGAAGCTGGGGGAATAGTACCTATGGACTCACCAGGAGAGCAGTCAGAGGCATAGTCTGGAGGAAAATCTATTCCAGAAGGAAGTCAACTCTTAGAAGAAAGGATGAATCTGGTTTTCTATTTTTATGGGCTCTAGGCTGAGGGTCAACCTTATGTGAAGCAGAATATCAACAGAAACCCAGTCCATCTGAAGAAGCAAACAATAGAGTTCAGTACAACCACAGCCACTGGAAAGAAAGGGAGGGGGTCCTCCCAAGAAAGGCAGAATCCAGAGGAAGAACCCAGGATTTTTGTATAACAGCCCAAATCTAAGGCTAACTCCTGATCTCTGCATGCATGGAACAAACTCTGAAGAAGGATCAAGAACTGAGGTGGGAGCTGCAGCCCCAGAGGAGTTTGCATTTTGAATGCTTCTAAGTTAACTGTTTGCTAAAGCAAAATAATCAATATCCTTCAAAGGAATATATAAAATCCAGAGCTTCCATGGTATAATATTCAAGATCACCAAGATAAAATCCAAAATTGCTCAACACATGAAGAACTAGGAAAATGTGACAAATTCCCAAGAAAAAGACTATTAAAAACAGACATACCCTGAGATGACAATGTCAGAATTTGAAAATAAGAATTTTTATGAGTTACTACTTAGTGATGTTTAGAAAAACATACAGCAAATAAAGAGATACACAGTCTCAACTGAGAAACAGAAACTGAAGATGACCAGATGGGTAATTAAGAATCAACAAAAATACCAGTAGAAAGAACTTTAAAGATAGGTCAATTAAAGTTATTCAACTGGAAGAACAATGGATTGGAAAAAGTTGTTTGTTTGTTTTTTTTTTAATGAACAGCATAGCATACCAAGATGACAATGATAATAATAATAAACATTAAAAAATACCAGAGCAGGAACTGGTTTGTAGCTCAGTGGTATAGTGCTCACCTAGCATGTGTGAGGCACTGGGTTTGATCCTCAGTACTACATATTAATAAATAAAATAAAGGTATTTGGTACACCTACAACTAAAAAAATTTTTTTAAAAATCAGTGCACAGGGGTCTGGGGTTGTGGCTCAGCAGTAGAGCGCTTGCCTAGCACATGTGAGGCCCTGGGTTCGATCCTCAGCACCACATAAAAATAAATAAAATAAAGTTATTGACAACTACAACTAAAAAAGATTTATTAAAAAATAAATATTAAAAAAAAATAGTGCCCAGATGTGGAGAAGTTAGAACCCTTCTGCAGGCCAGAATGTGAAACAGGGCAGCTGCTATAGAAAAAGCATGGCAATTCCTCAAAAGGTTAAACAGCAATTTCACGCCTACAAAAAACACCCAGAATTAAAAAGAAGTATTCATAAACAATGAATGTTCATGGCAGCACTATTCACAGTAGCTGTAAGGTAGAAATGATCTAAATGTCCATCAGCTGGTGGGATGAATAAACAAATATGGGATTATCTACACAATGGAATATGATTCAGCCATATGAAATAATGAAGTATCAATTCATGCTACAACATGAATGAACTTCAAAACATTACACTAAGCAGCTAGACACAAAAAGGTCACATATTGTATGATTTCATTTATATGAATTAAAAGACAGAAAGCAGATTAATGGTTACCCAGGACTGAGGGAAGAACAGGGAATGACTTTATGGTACTGAGTTTCCTTTGGGGGCTGATAGAAGTATTTTGGCACTAGATAGAAATGATGACTGCAACCATATGACATTTTTAAGTGTTATTAAAGTAATAATTAAGTATTATTGAAGTAATAAAGTATTAAATAATTTAGCAAGGTTTGACAATGTCAGTTAATATACAAAATCATCTGTATTGTTACATAACAGCAGCAAACAATTGAAAAATAAAATTAAAAACCAATTTCATTGATATCTTCAAAAAAGATATATAAGACCTCTATACTGAAGGTAGCAATATTGCTGAGAATACTGCTGAGAAAAAAACAAAGATTCAATAAATGAAGATATACCATGCTCATTATGTCATATGTTGTCACAGTACACCCTATGTAATTCATGAAGAGAAGAAATTTATTTCTCACAGTTCTGGAGGCTGGAAAATCCAATTTCAAGGTGCTTGCATCTGGCGAGGGCCTTCATGCTGCATCATCCCATGACAGAAAACAAGAGGGTGAATGAGGGAACAAGAGAGAAAGACAAGGGGATTGAACTTGCCCTTTTATAATGAATTCACTCCTGTGATAACAGCATTAATCCATTTGTGAGTATGAAGTCCTCATGTCTAAGTGCCTCCCATTGGGCCCCACCCTCCAAATTTGTTTGGGATTGTTTCCAACACATTCTTTTGGGGGGACACATTCAAACAAATGCAGATCTTAAGACTCAGTATTATCAAAATGTCAATTCTTCCCAAAATTGTAGATTTGATGTAATCCCAATTCCAATGGCATTTATTGGTACCCTGCTTCTAAATGGTAGAAATACAAAGGACCTAAAACATTGAGAGTAATCTTGAAAGACAAAATAGAAGGGGCATAGATAACATGATTTAAGAGCAAGCTATGGTAATCATGACAGTGTGATTCTGGAATAAGGATCAACAAATCAACCACTGGAGCACAGAAAACCCAGATTTAGATTCACACTTTCGTAGGAGCTTTTATACCATAATCAAGGAAAAAATAAAATTTTAATTCCCCTTAGCTAACCCATACTTTAGTTTGCTTTTTTCAAAAAGTGCCTAAAGTGAGATAATCTATTAGAAACCTCTAATATACACACTTATGTAAAAATCTGGGAATTAGGAATTGAACAGTGAATTTACTTTGCCTCCATTTTGGTAATTATTTACAGGCAGGAGGAGACATTATGCAATGGATCTGTTGAAGTTGTCTCTTAAAACTCTGAATTCTAAAATATTTTGGTACAAGTTTCTTCTTTTGAATTGCCAAGAAGTTGATCTTCAGATCCTACAAAAGGTTATGCTTTGAAATACAAAACTGCTTGAAACTTTTAAGAGCTTTTCCCTCCTCTTCCCAGACTGAATATGAAACATTAACTGTTTTAACACCACATGGTTCCAAACTTGATATGACTTAATTAAGAGAATATATCACACCTAAATCAAATGCTTTACATATAAACTATTCTATGATAAAGATGCCTGCAAAATATTTCATACCCTCTCAAGGATTCACAGTGAGTCTGTGTCCCCATCACTTGACTCAGGCTGTGACTGATAGAATATGATGGAGGTGAAGATTTGTCTGGGTCAAGACCTCAAAGCATGGCAGCTTGTAAGTTTAACACCCAGCTGCCATACTGAGGAAGCCCAATAAGGAAATACTGTAAGGGGGACCTGAGACCACTGGTAAACTCCTAGCCAAGTCAGCACCAACTTACCAGCCATCTGAGTGAGCCATGTTGGTACTGAAAATAAATTCTTCTGCCCCATTTGAGACACCCAGATGATACTGAGGATCAGAGACAAGACCTGCTTGACTAGTCATTGCCAAAGTATAGATTAGTGAACAGAATAAGTAATTGTCATTGTTTGAAGCCACTCTTTTGGAGTGTTTAATACACAGCAAAAGACTGGACCATTCCCCATTGTTACATACCCCTTGTCATGAACTGATTTTCTCAAAATGAAAGCCTGAAGGCACCAAACCCAGTGACTAAAAGTTCACCAAATCCATCTCATCTGTATGACTTCAGAAACAAACAGAAACAGCCAGGCACCTGGAAACTCTTCACTGCTGCTTTATTGTGATGCACCCACAGTACAGAACCTCTCACACAGCTGTGAAAGGGGAAGTTACATTGCTTTTTGGGAGCACCTTCGTTTTTTGTTTCTATTACCATTATGAAGGAAGTAAATCATTTCCAAAGAACATTTTAAATTCCAAGTGTTTAAAGACAGCTTGCATTTCATCATGTTTGGAAAAAAAAGTAGCATGTTTTAGCCAGAGCTGGAATATTTTTTTGTAGCCTTGTTTTCACTTTGATGTGGATCAGAAGTCTTCACTGTCTGGTTGAACCAGTCTATAATTTTCATATGTAACTTTTCATATCAAAAATGTTTCATTTTTACATCTACCTACAAACAGATGCTGTTTTTTTTTTAAAAAAAAATACATACACACTCACAACTAAGTTTAAAACCAATCAAGAACAACAGCATTACTAACAGAGAAAATGAACTTTTGCTGCCCTCTCCTGCTAAAACAATGAAGTACTGAAATACCAAAGATTTATGAAGCTGAAGCAAAATCCTCAAACTAAAAGCAATGGACATATCATTCTCATTATACTTCATTCAAAAATCAAACCACAACCAGAAGATGTATTGTTAATATTTATATTTGAAAGTTCCCCATTGATACATGAGGTTTGGATTACAACTTATTTACAATAAGTGATTTCAAAAAATAAAAATAAAAGTAAAGAAAGGGAAGGGGAGAAGGGCTAAGAGAGACGAAAGAAATAGAAGGAGATACAGGGGAGGGAGGAGAGCAAGGAGGAAGGAGAAAGGTGGAAGGGGGAGAGAAAGAAAGAGGGAGAGAAGAAAAGGAAACCTATATTCATAGACATCATAATATGGGATGTTCATTTCCAAGAGAGATACTACTGCTGCTATCGTGCACAAGAAGCAGCACAAATTAACATTCCACTAGATCAAAGTTTACTCAACTTTCTCTCAAGATGCACAATCCTTCTTTTAGATTTTCAAAATTAAATATAGAGGAATATAAAATGCATTGCCAATATACCTTTTACAAAAATCCTTTGTGGCTCATTCCTTAACTCCACTCAGAGAAGCAGCTGAGCCAGAATACAAAAATAAAAATATTCATGTGCAAATAAAACATCACTGATCATGTCTGGTGCCACCTTTTTGCTACAGGTGACTGTCACTTTGTGATAACATTGGTAACAGCATCAAAGAGAGAATCTCTTCATCTCCTGGGCAAGGTCAGTGCATCCAATTAATGAGGGGAAAACAGGAACATTAACAACAACAAAACAAAACCCTGGAACACTTAAAAATGCCAATAACATCCTAACATCCATACATCCCTTTCCCACCCCACCCCTATCCCCACAAAAAAATAAAAAAGCTTTTAAAGCTCTAAATATACTTTTTTTTTTTCTTTCCATAGTGTGATTGAGCCTAAGGCTATACATTTAGGTATAGCAGGTGCAACTACAAGCAATTCCTGGCTCTGCACCCTGGAATGCCCCACGCATAGGAGGAGGTACAAAATCAATGAAATCCTTCCATTTAGGCAAAGAAGCCCAAGATGAAGGAGCTTAACCCTGCTTGTGAGTATCCAGCGGCATCAAGGGTATTATTTATTTTTAAAATTTTTTTCTTTTTTTAAAAAACAGATGTTAGGGAGAGCAAAATATAACAAACTTGAAAAGGACAAAAACTAAACACTGAAGGAGAACAACTGGGGACACTTGTACAATAAGAAAAAGGAATGCATGCTTGATTCAAAGGAGATGGGTCACTTCACTCACATAATTGTTCTGGGCCCACAGCCTAAGGCCTCAGCATCATTCTAAACCACAGGGTTGTGTGTATATTTTTTTCTTCCAAGGACACTCTTACTCCTACCCCTGAAACCAATATGGTAGGGATAAGGTTGGAGTGATCATCACTCACTAACGACAAATATTTGCTATTTAAAAAATATATTTATATATAGTTCTGAAAACTATGAAGCAAACAAAATATAACACAAAGATGCATTTGTCACAATTAACTCAAGTTGCAGCAACAGCAGAATTGCGGGAAGGGACAGAGAGAGGGCTGCTGCAAATGCAGCAAGTACGTCCTTAAATATGTCACATAGTGCAACAGTCAGATTACCTAAATTACTCCGTGTCACCGCACACAACATGACAAATGTCACATTGTCACTTTCAGTTAAAAAAAAAAAAAAAAGACAGTGTTTCTTCTCAGAAGTTGCCCTATTAATTTTCACCAGGTAGCTCTAATTGCTTCTTTATATATGTCTAAAACTTGGCTTTATTCTCCTCATTTTGGAATGATCAACATACAAAACTGACACCAAGGACATCTGGGTCATATTCACCTCAACTCTGAGGGCAGGGTAAGGTGCAAAAAGGAAAACTAGGCTTTCTCATTTCATTCTGATGGGCAGAGATTCTTCATAAACCTGTGATTTTTAATGCCTTCCATCTAAAAAATGAATTAATGGCAAATAAAAGTTTACACGTAAAAAATAACTGTAATGCAGAATCAAAACTGGGAAGGGCTAAAACCAAAAGGGCTAAGGAAAAGATTTGTTATAAATTTATTTTTATAATTAGTATTTGAACTTGCACCTTTGTTCCAACACTGTTGAAGCAAGTTGTTTCATTTTGGGCAGCCTCTGCCAACATTATACTGAATCCCCATGAACGTTCCTATTTATTTGTTTAAAAAACTTTTTAAAAACTATCCATTCCATTAAACCATGTTGTGTTAGTGATGCATATGACTTTTTTTTTTACTGCTGTTTGTTTTAAGGAATAACAATGCCAAATTTTGTTTTTGATTCACTTTTTTTTTTTACAATTACCTAGATGATAATATTCATAATCAGCTGACTTTTATGTACACACAATGACCTAATAATCTGGAAACATTTCATAGGGGAGAAAGGTCAGCGGCTATTTTTTCCCTTTTTCTTAGAAACAATAAAACTGTATATTCTACTTTATATTTCAATGGAAGGAAGAAAATATACAAGCCCATATTTATACTGTATTTCTACTGAGAGCAACAATAGTTCATATGTTCATGTTTGCTACTATCACAACTTAACATATGAACAGAGGATGAGCTCTGTATCATGAACACTGCTGGAAATGATGATTTAAGATTATCAACTCACTGCTGCCATGTCCATAAAAAGCAAAAGCATCCTAGAAACGAATCATAAAACATATCTTTTCATACATAATAATGCAACCACATTAGATAAGTACATGATGTACACAAGTTTTATCAGCAATTTACCTACCCAAGTTGTAAGAGTCTTCTTTTAATACAAAGCAGAGAGCCAATAAGATCTATCTATAATACAGCCCTAGATTTTGTTTTTTGTTTTTTTCTCAAACAATTTGGTCACGATGCACCTTTGATATAAAAGCATTTTTAAACTTTATTATTAATACTCAGGACATTAGGAATTTCCAGCTTTTTTCAGTAGCATTTGTAGAACCACTTTTGGTAACAAATACAGTAGTTAGGAATATGCATCCAATTCAGAATGCATTATGTTTATCCTGAATCCTTTCCGGCTAAAAACAGGGCTGGCGCTGTGATGAGATATAGAACGAGAATCTACAAAAAACACTGTAACATGTTTGTTTTTTTTCCAGAGGCTACATCCTCTTTTGCTGGAATACTTTATAAATACATATTAAAAAGTAAGGCAACAACTCCAAACAGTCCAAGCTGTTTGCTCAACTCTTTTCCCAATTAGATTCGCAATCCTGGCGATCAATTTCATGGTTTTATTGTTTAGTGTTTGTCTTTATTTCATATGGTCCAAAAAGGATGTCTTTCTGACATTTCTAAAATGTCTCTGGTATATTATGTTCAATGATGTATACAACTAATACTGGTCAGGTACTGAAGCCTGTGATGTCCCAGTGCCTGTTTTCAAAGGATTCAAGACATTGATTTGGATTCACCATAAACTGATGCATGAATCCAAAATTCCCTTCCCTACTATCTTTATCACCTCTTCTCTTTTTACTCCTAATTTTAAAACTAAAGGAGTACCAGGACTACCTGGTTACTGGAAAGATGTTCACCCCAGCAGACGAAACTTTCATCGGGGACCTTTAAAATTCAGGGTCCCATGCCACATGGACATTCAACTCATGAAGATGTGCAAAAGGAAAAAGTCAAATTACAGTCAAGTTATCCAGAGGAAGATGTTATACAAACTTATAAGGAAATGACAGTCTTTTTTTTTTTTCTTCCTTTACTATAAATACATTTAACAGCTTAGCAGAAAGACAAGCTAAATTTAAGATTGTTCACATTTGAAAATTGTATCATACTCTCTGCTAGTGATAAATAAGAACTCCTGATAATGGAATTTTAACATAGCAATTTCATCAACAGATCTTTGAAGACTGCTTTTTTTTTTTTTTTATAAGAGGGTTAGAACAATGATTATGTTTGCAAAGTTCTGAGAAGTCCATCTACTGTCCAAACTTTGGATTGAAGTCCTTATTTTTTTCCTTTACTTACAGACAGGTATATACAGTGCTGTTGTAATAATGAAACAAATGTGAAATCTACTGTAAAGTTGCACAATACAGAAAACTGTTGCTCCATCTTCTACTACATAAATGTGACTCCACAGGTTAGTAATGTTGCTGTCATATTTTTGTTAAGTTGGAATTATCCCATCACGTCTAAGACCTCTCTTTAACTCCAGATCCTCCAATTTTTTCCATAATTCTTCACGCTCTTTTTCTTTCTTTTTCTCACTGGGAAAGAAACAGAACACAATGTAAACAGCTGAGAAGGTTTAAAGAGATTGTTCAACAATAACTGCCCCTTCACATATTATCCCTAAGGTATGTTGTAAATGTCTTTTCAAAGTTTGACGTTAAGCTGGTAGGCTTTACTTTTTGGTTTGTCTTTCTAATAGAGTATTTTTTTATGACATTTAAAAATATATACACACAACAGTAGTACTAATGAAAAGAACTGAAAAAGACTATTTTAGATAGGGCTGGGGTTTTGGCTCAGAGATAGAGAGCTTGCCTAGTATGTGTGAGGCACTGAGTTCCATTCTCAGAATGACATATAAATAAATAAATAGACAGATGGATGTCCATGATCAACTAAAAAAATTTTAAAAAAGAGACTAAGATTTCAAAAAAATTTCCCATTTTATTTAGCTTAATACAGAAAATTAACTTCAAATCACTAAGAAACAAAAATCAGGATGATTTATGTATATCAGTTATTCTAAAACCAAGGGCACTGAGTGATTTTTAACATAGGGCCTAGGGAATCTAACTTTCTCTTTGTCCACAAATAGATTCTCAAAAAGGATGCTGGTATGGTACATGCCTGTAATCCCAGTGGCTCAGGAGGCTGAGGCAGGAGGATCTAGAGTTCAAAGTTAGACTCAGCAAAAGCAAGGTGCTAAAAAACTCAGTGAGACTCTGTCTCTAAATAAAATATAACATAGGATATAGGGGATGTGGCTCAGTGGTCCAGTGCCCCTGAGTTCAATCTCCATTACCCCTCCCCACAGAAAAATTACCAGAAATGACACTCATACAAGGTGAAGAAAATATATTCTCTGTTCTTCATATCAATTTTTCCTAGGCCATGTATATTCAAATTCTTTGGCAGTGTCTGAAAACTTGTGATTTTAGTTTTAATTATTGATCTGGATGGAACTTTGTTCATATTAAATTACTGAGAATTCAAATTTGGTTCAATACCAATTTTACTAGTGATTTCCAGACTTCTAGACTTTCATTGTTTGGGAAACTTTACCAAAAAACAGGCAACACAAAATAGGGTCAATAAATTTTACATTGCCAAAGGCATTTTAAACTAACATATATTTAAAAATAAGGAAAGATGTTTTAAATAACCAAGTGGGAAGTACATAACCAAAGAACATGACTATCTTATAAATTTTATATAAATTCATATATATTAAAAATAATTCAGCCAGGCACATCGGCTGATGCCTATAATCCCAGTGGTTTGGAAGGCTGAAGCAGGAGTATTATAAGTTTAAAGCCAGCCTCAACAATTTAGCCAGGCAGTAAGCAGCTCAGTGAGACCCTGTCTCTAAAAAACATACAAAAAAGAGCTAGGGATGTGGCTCTGTGGTTAAGCGCCCCTGGGTTCAAACCCTGCTGGGAAAAAAAAAAATCATTACACTAATCCCTAGTTTTCTCATGTTGCAGCGAGCCAATAAAAAGTATGTGAATTCCATGAATTCAAATAATTTCTGAAAATGGTAGCTCTGCCATCTCAGGCATGGGAGAATTGATCTCTCTACACAATCTAATTTTGCAAAGATTTAACTTCAGCCACAGCACAATTTTTTACTAAAAGAGAAATTCATATGGGTTAAGTGAAATTTCTACATAATTCCAATGCCTCACACTTTTTATGTTATCACCAAAATTTTGGAAAAGTCATTACTTACTTCTATAGCAACAGATATTTATCTTCACCCTCTACTCCCCTCCAAAAATATCCTCTAGAGGAACCTAAGTAATTGTATGTTCTCATTCCACTGAATCTTGCAGAAATATTAAATTACACAATAGGATAGATAAAATCTGTTTCATAATTGCTATTTTGATAACTCAGGCCTTGTTTACTATTGATTTCAGCTATCTCAAATGCAATTTGCATAATATGAATTTCAGTGAACACGATCATTTTCAAAGAGTTATCTAGTTCTTAATTTTAACCCTGAAAAATTGCCTTTACAGGGTAATAAGGAGCAAGATGAGATAATCCTCCAATCATCCAGATTCTTCACTATAAGCAAGCTCTCTTGCAAATTATCACTTTCTGTTTCTCAATACAGTTTTTGAATAATATTAATCTAAATAAATGTTCTCAGGGGCCAATTTGAGCACATATAAATTAATCTATAGATCCTACTGAGTTTTAATGCATTTTATCTCTTTTATAAAGAAGGAAAAGGGGATGGTAAGCAAGGGCCTGGGAATGTTATTGAACTGAAAAACAGCTCAACATATGTCAGGTTCACATCACCCTAACTTGCAGTTTAAACTACATATTGACAACACTTTTCTCGTCTTACTGAAATACTTCACTCATGTTTTGATCAGCAGTTTTAAGGCATTCAGTCCAATTTGTCTTGTGGGCTTTTTTCCCAGATGAAATTTATGCTGAGTTATAATAAAGTCTTCATACTGACAACCTGAGCTTCAAAAATTGTAAATACAAACATATTTACTGTCACCCTTATTCTTCCCCACTTTCTCCCACCTATCACTATAGGTGGGAATTTCAAAAATCTAACCACATTGTCATGTTGGAGATATTGTCAAATTCTCTTCCAACTTCAATTTTATAGAACCAATGTTGGCATATATATCTAATGATGTTAAATATTTACTCTACCCACTATTTTTAGATTTCTAATAATTAAAAATATGTTCTGAACTGAAACCATTAACTTCTTGGCCATCCACAGTGAAATCTTTCATTCAGTTATTCTTTGACACTACCAAATAAATCTCTTCATTCTCTTTTCCTATTCCCAAATCTATGGAGGGACAATTGTGTTCATTTGTTTTATATAATGGCTTATAGCTCATTTGACCAAGATATTGCTCTTCCTTTAAAATAATCTTTCTGCTCCATGCTCGTGTACCCATCTATCTTGCAGCCTGAAGGAGGCTCTTGTGGTGGGGCTCCTGTCTATGTGGTAGAGGGCTGCTGGAACCAGGTTTGGAGTTTCTCAGTGAAACAATTTTATAAATAAAAGCACCATGTAAGTGAAATCTCTCCCCACTTCCATGCTAGAGGATGCCAAGGAAAGAGAACTGCTATAGGCCTTCTCTGTGAGCCCAGGAAGAGTGGATGGTCATCCAGAAGCTTAAGTTCAGGGCACAGAATGCAGAGGCTTTGCTTGTGGGTCACCAGATAGAGCTGTGGACACAGCACAAGGTCATCCCAGCACCCTTCACCTCATCAAACACTCTACGTGGGAAACAGACGGAATCCATTTTGGAAAATGTTACTCGCCATCTATCGGTAGGCGTGGCAACCAGCGCGGTTCTGCAGCTGACCAGAGAGATTTTGGAACTATCAAGGGCAATATAAATATACAGGGGGAAAAAATTAACACAACAGTCACACAGAGCTGGAAAGAAACATGAACAGTATTAAAAGAAAAGGAAAGAAAGGACCACAAACGATACAGGACAATTCAACATATAGAAGAGGTAACATCTGCAGCAGAAGGAATGTTAGATAAAGATTTCAGGATTGACCAGGAATTACATAAACAAATCCAAGAAGCAAAAGATCAACTCTACAGGGAGACAGAGGTTATTAAAAAAAACAAAAAACAAAAAAACACAACAACAAGAAACAAAAATCCTGGAAATGAAGGAAATAATAAACCAAATTAAAAATTCAAATGAGAGTATCACCAGCAGAGTAGAACACTTAGAAGATAGAACATCAGACAACGAAGACAAAGTGTATCATCTCAAAAGGAATGTAGATAGCACAGCGAGACTGATAAGAAACCACCAGCAGAACATCCAAGAAATATGGGATAGCATGAAGAGACTAAATTTAAGAGTTATTGGGATACAGGAAGGTATACAGGTCCAAACCAAAGGAATGAGCAATCTATTAATGAAATAATATTAGAAAACTTTCGAGACATGAAGAATGAAACAGAAATCCAAATCCTAGAAGCCCACAGGACGCCGAATGTGCAAAAATCACAAGAGACCCACATCAAGACACATTATAATGAAGTTGCCCAACATACGGAACAAGGAGAGAATTTTAAAAGCCACAAGAAAAAGGAAGCAGATTACATTTAGGGGTAAACCAATTAGGTTAATGGCTGATCTTTCAACACAGACTCTGAAAGCTAGAAGATCATGGAACAACATATTTCAAATGCTAAAAGATAATGAGTTCCAACCAAGAATCTTGTATCCAGCAAAATTAAGCTTCAGGTTTGAAGATGAAATAAAAACCTTCCATGATAAACAAAAGTTAAAAGAATTTGCAGCTAGAAACCTGGTGCTTCAAAACATCCTTGGCAAAACATTACATGAAGAGAAAATGAAAAATAACAATGAAAACCAACAGTGGGAAGTAGTACAGTAAAGGAAAAACTAATCAAAGAGTAAAAACAAATCAAGTTAAATAACAAAAATAAACAAATATGGCTGGAAATACAAACCACATCTCAATAGTAACCCTAAATGTTAATGGCTTAAACTCACCAATCAAAAGACATAGGCTAGTAGACTGGATTTTAAAAAAAGATCCAACAATATGCTGCCTACAGGAGACTCATCTGATAGGAAAAGGACCTCGGAACCAAGTAGGGGTGTCTATACTCATATCAAATAAAATAGACTTCAAGCCAAAGTTAATCAAAAGGGATAAAGAAGGACACTACATACTGCTGAAAGGAACCATAAACCAACAAGACATAACAATCATTAATGTATATGCCCCAAACAATGGTGAAGCTATGTTCATCAAACAAACTCTTCTCAAGTTCAAGAGTCAAAAAGACCACAACACAATAATCATGGGTGATTTTAACACACCTCTCTCACCACTGGACAGATCTTCCAAACAAAAGTTGAATAAAGCAACTACAGAACTCAATAACATAATTAATAACTTAAGACTTAATAGACTATATCAACCAACATCAAGCAGATACAATTTTTTCTCAGCAGCACATGGATCCTTCTCAAAAATAGACCATATATTAAGTCACAGGGCAACTCTTAGCAAATACAAAGGAGTAGAGATACTACCATGCATTTTATCCAATCATAATGGAATAAAATTGGAAATCAACGATAAAATAAGGAAGAAAAATTCCAACATCACATGGAGAATGAACAATATGCTACTGAATGAACAATGGGTTACAGAAACATCAAGGAGAAAATTAAAAAATTCTTAGAGGTAAATGAAAACTCAGACACAATATATCAAAATCTCTGGGACTCTGAAAGCAGTACTAAGAGGGAAAATTCATTGCATGGAGTTCATTCCTTAAAAGAAGAAAAAGCTAACAAATAAATGACCTCACACTACATCTCAATGCCCTAGAAAAAGAGAACAAATCAGCAAATGCAGTAGAAGGCAAGAAATAATTAAAATCAGAGCTGAAATCAATGAAATTGAAACAAAAGAAACAATTGAAAAAATTGACAAAACTAAAAGTTGGTTCTTTGAAAAAATAAATAAGATTGACAGACCCTTAGCCACGCTAACGAAGAGAAGAGAACCAAAATTACTAGCATACGTGACGAAAAAGGCAACATCACAACAGACACTACAGAAATACAGAAGATAATTAGAAATTATTTTGAAACCTTATACTCTAATAAAATAGAAGATAGTGAAGGCATCGATAAATTCCTTAAGTCATATGATCTGCCCAGATTGAGTCAGGAAGATATACACAACTTAAACAGACTAATATCAAGTGAGGAAATAGAAGAAGCCATCAAAAGAGTACCAACCAAGAAAAGCCCAGGACCAGACGAATATAAAGCCGAGTTTTACAAAACCTTTAAAGAAGAACTAATTCCAATACTCTACAATCTATTTCAGGAAATAAAAAAAGAGGGAGTACTTCCAAATTCATTCTACGGGGCCAATATCACCCTGATTCCAAAACCAGACAAAGACACCTCAAAGAAAGAAAACTATAGACCAATATCTCTAATGAATATAGATGCAAAAATCCTCAATAAAATTCTGGCAAATCGGATACAAAAACATATCAAAAAGATTGTGCCCTATGATCAAGTGGATTCATCCCAGCCATTAACATTATAAATGCTATCTATGCTAAGCCTCAGGCCAGCATCATTCTAAATGGAGAAAAACTGAAGGCATTCCCTCTAAAATCTGGAACAAGACAGGGATGCCCTCTCTCACCACTTCTATTCAACATAGTTCTTGAAATATTGGCCAGGGCAATTAGACAAAAGAAAGAAATTAAAGGAATATCTATAGGAAAAGGAGAACTTTAAACTAGCACTATTTGCTGATGATATGATTCTATACCTAGAAGACCCAAAAAACTCTACTAAGAAACTTTACTAGAACTAGTAAATGAAATCAGCGAAGTGGCAGGATATAAAATCAACATCCATAAATCAAAGCCACTTCTGTGTATCAGTAACAAATCCTCTGAAAAGGAAATGAGGAAAAACTATCCCATTCACAATATCCTCAAAAAGAATAACATACTTGGGAATCAACTAACAAAAGAGGTGAAAGATCTTTTCAATGAAAACTATAGAACCCTAAAGAGAGAAATAGAAGAAGACCTTAGAAGATGGAAAGATCTACCTTGCTCATGGATAGGCAGAATGAATATTATTAAGATGACCATACTACCAAAAGCACTATACAGGTTCAATGCAATTCCGATCAAAATCCCAATGGCATTCCTCATAGAAAGAGAAAAAGTAATCATGAAATTCATCTGGAAAAATAAGAGACCCAGAATAGCTAAAGCAATTCTAAGCTAGAAGAGTGAAACAGGTGATATCGTTACATCAGATCTTAAACTATATTACAGAGCAAGAGTAACAAAAACAGCATGGTACTGGCACCAAAACAGGCTGGTGGACCAATGGTACAGGATAGAGGACACAGAGACTAACCCACAAAACTACAACTACCTTATATTAGACAAAGGTGCCAGAAGCATGCACTGGAGAAAGGATAGCATCTTCAACAAATGGTGTTGGGAAAACTGGAAATCCATATGCAACAAAACGAAATTGAATCCCTCTCTCTCACCATGCACAAAAGTTAAATCAAAATGGATCAAGGATCTAGGAATTAAACCAGAAACTGTGCGTCTAACAGAAGAAAAAGTAGGCCCTAATCTCCATCACGTGGGGCTAGGCCCCAATTTCCTTAATAAGACACTGATAGCACAAGAATTAAAAACAAGAATCAACAAATGCGATGAATTCAAAGTAAAAAGTTTTTTATCAGCAACAGAAATAATATGTGAGGTGAATAGGGAGCTTACATCCTGGGAACAAATTTTTACCCCTCACACAACAGATAGCGCTCTAATCTCTAGGGAATACAAAGAACTTCAAAGGTTAAACACCAAAAAATCAAACAACCCAATCAACAAATGGGCCAAGGACCTGAACAGATACTTCTCAGAAGAGGAATATACAATCAATCAACAAATATACGAAAAAATGCCCATCATCTCAAGCAATCAGAGAAATGCAAATTAAAACTACTCTAAGATACCACCGCACTCCAGAAAGAGTGGCAGCCATTATGAAGACAAACAACAAGTGCTGGCGAGGATGCGGGGAAAAAGGTACACTCATATTCTGCTGGTGGGACTGCAAATTGGTGCAGTATGGAAATTCTTTGGAAAACTGGGAATGGAACCACCATTTAACCCAGCTATTCCTCTTCTCAGACTATACCCAAAGGACCTAAAATCAGCATTTTACAGGGACACAGCCACATCAATGTTTATAGTAGCACAATTCACAATAGCTAAACTGTGGAGCCAACCTAGATGTCCTTCAGTGGGTGAATGGGTTTAAAAAATGTGGCATTTATACACAATAAAATATTACTCAGCAATAAAAAAGAATAAGATCATGGCATTTGCAGGGAAATGGATGGCATTAAAGAAGATCATGCCAAGTGAAGTTAGCCAATCCCAAAAAACCAAATGCCGAATGTCTTCTCTGATATAAGGGAGGTGACTCAAAATGGGGTTGGGAGGGAGAGGAAAGGAGGAAGATTACCTCTAGATAGGGAATAGGGGTGGGAGGGAAAAGGGGAATAGCACGGATGGTGAAAGGAGACCCTCATCATTATATAAAATACATGTATGAAGATGTGAATTTGATGTCAACATACCTTATATATAATCAGAGATATGATAAATTATGGTACAATGTTGTATTAAGAATTGTAATGCAAAAATAAATTTTTAAAAATGCAAAATAATAATAATAATCTTTCTCAGACAGGTGCAGTGGCACATGCCTATAATCCCAGGAGCTCCAGAGAGAATCGAAAGTTCAAAGCCAGCCTCAGCAACTTATCAAGGCCCTAAGCAACTCAGTAAGACCCTGTCTCTAAAGGGGACTGGGGGTGTTGCTCAGTCGTTAAGCACCCCTGGGTTCTTAAGTACCAAAAATATAAGTAAGTAAATAAATAAATAATCTTTCTCTCATTAAGAAAGTCTACTCACTATAAAAAAAATTCACTTTGTTATGACAGATTATCAAAATTTACTTATTCTTGCTCCCCTTGGTTAATTCTTATCTTTTAAAGAGATTTGACTATTTAGTTTAGATCATAAGTAGTAATGAAAGTTTCATTATTCACTCAATATGAGCCAATTAATTTTAATATTTTAGAAATAAGTTCTTCATACCTGTTTTTTTCATTTGGCATGCTGGAATTGAATACATTTGAGTTGCACATGCTAGGCAAGTGTTCTACTACCGAGCTACACCCTCAGACCTTTCAATATTATTGATAGGATTATATAGATTTAATCCTTATTCAAGCAGGATGATAATAATGAGCTTTCTGTTGCTCTAAAAGTCAAATGCTATGCACTACAACTCTTTAATGTTGAATCATGGTATTAAAATGTGCCTTTAACTCTCATTTTTAAAAGATTTCAATTTATGTTTGGGGCATGGAGAGTCATTAAAAATTTAATGATTTGCAACTACTGCTAATAGAGCAATTTAAAGTTATTTGCGTATATAAATATGAAACAACAAATCTCCTATTGTGTATAATTATAATGTACCAGTGAAAAAGGGAAAAAGTTATTTACATTACAAGTGTGGCACAACATATCCTATAAATGATATCTATCCCAATATTGTGGTAAAAAAAAAAAATCTCAGACTCTGCTAGTTGCTAATACTTGCCACATTCTAAAATAAACTTGTTTTTCATAAGCCCTATCCCTGGTGATTTAAAAAATATATATATCAATACAATGGTCCTTTGCCCTCTGCCACCAAATCTTTCCCCTCACTGCTCTTTTTATCAATAAAACACATGTAATACATTCAAAATCAGTCAAAGCAAAAAAGCAAGGAAATGCAGGCTTTTATCCAGGAGGTTCAGTAAGGTCCTGGGTATGAACATTCACATGCACCTCTGAAATCCATGGTTTTGTGATCTAGAAAGCTTACATTTGCTTCTTGGTGGTCAAAGTCAAATTAGGCCCAAACTACTAAGAGTTCTCCAGACTCCTTAATTTTCCTATTTATGTCTTTTGGAAAGTTGGACATATTAGACAACAAATAACAAAACAGGAGAATTGTGTAAAGGAAGTCAAAAAAAAGGCTTTACTAAGCCATAAGCATCTACTATAGAGGTGTCCACTAATTTTTCTCCCTTATGGTCTCAAACATATTGATTCATCTAATACAGATTATAAACCTTCACATTCTTCTTACTGCCTTTAAATTGTAATGAATTTGTTGGATTCTAGAATAGAGGTAAGATCTGCACCAAAAAACTAGATGATGGTGCTTCATCCTTCCTGCTGCTGGAGTGAAATACAATATCAGCCCAATTCTAGTCCAAGAAAGTTAGGAATGGGAGTGAATCCAGATGGCAAACTACCTGATGATCTCCTTATGTGGGCCTGAAATACCAGTTATGTGCCAGGCTCTTAACCCTGAGGCAGAACTGAAATAAAGGAAGGGAGGAAAGCAGGCTTTATCAAAATGAAACTGTCAGAAAGCTTTATTATTCAGTGGCACACTAATAATGACACAGCTAATGAGCATGCAAAAATGAAAATCTAAATAAACAAAAGTGTGCTGGCTATGATTTGGATACAACTAGGCAACTTCAGTAAAGAACAAGGAAAGAACTCAATAGTTTAATGCACTACAGACAAAAAAGCTTTAAAAAGTTACCGCTGACGATCTGACTTGTATGTGGCTGTCAGCTCATCAAACATGGTGCTGTTCATTTCCATAAATGCCTTCAACACATTGTACACTAACGCCACAATAGCCCTGTGAAGCAGAGAAAAGGGAACATATTGGTTAGTATTACATAATGGGATGCTGAATGAAGAAAACAAAAGCACAACTTTTGTCTGAATGAGCTCAACTGCAAACTGTTTTCATCCCTTTATAGTCGGAACAACTAGAAGTGACCTATAATTCACTTCCACATAAAGGGATTTAAATTCTTTACTGTTCAAGGCAAGATCTTTCTGAGGCGGATGGAAAAAGTAGGGGAGAAAAATCTAATTTTACCCTTCTAATTACTGGTACCCATGGCCACCTGATAACTTTGTTTCACCAAAAGGCAACTTCAGCCGGGAGCAGTGGTGCACACCTGTAATCCCAGCAGTTCAGGAAGCTGAGGCAAGAGAATCACAAGTTCAAAGCCAGCCTCAGCACAAGTTAGGCACTAAGCAACTCAGTGCTGTCTCTGAATAAAATACAAAATAGGGCTGGAAGTCAAGTGCCCCTGAGTTCAATCCCCAGTACCCAAAATAAATAAAATACAGCAACTTCATCCTAAAAATAAACACCTATGGTAGGACTAACCTTAGAGATCTGAAGCTACAAAAAATTTTAAAGTATTAATATACAGAAAATCAAAATCAGAAGCTGTTCCCATGAAAACAAATCATATACACAGATATACGCAAACATCTATGTATATACGTAACATACACACACATTCATACTCAATGTTCATTTATTTTCCCAGTTGTGATTTGCATCAATAATCCATCTACTCTGCTCAGCTCCTTTGCTGATCCAATATTGACACTGACAAGACAGATAACTGGCAAGCTGGTGGTGATGGTCATTGTTAGTAATATAACATATAAAACTAAACAGTCAAAATTCTGACCTATCCTTTTTTAACAAAATGCCTTTATTTTTATGTGGTGCTGAGAATCGAACCCGGGTCCCGCACGTGCTAGGCGAGCACTCTATCGCTGAGCCACAATCCCAGCCCATGACCAATTCTTATTAATGGAAGAATAAGCTCTTGGACAATGTGAGAACTGTGTCATGATGGGTTTGACAGCCTCATATTAGAATCTAAATAGCTTTACCCTTCACAAAAATATACAATGTTATTTCCATCTTGCAACAAATGTGCTCTCAATACTACTAAGATGACATTGGTAAAATTAATATATTAAAAAACCATAAATCTGATTTTTTTCAAAACATTTATAAGAAAGTAGTTGCTGAGTAGTGTCTGTCCTGTATCCATTAAAAGGAAAACTTACGGTCATTTCTGTTAAGGTTTCAGATTGACCTTCCTCTCAAGGGGAGTGATGGAGAAGCACCAAATGCTGAGCAGTAATAGACATTCCCAAACACTACTCTCCAGGTCCTCAAGATATAATAAGACTCAACGGTTTACCATTCCTTTATTTTTGCAAGTACTATTTTCAAATTTGGCAAGTTTGAAAATGAAGAAATGTGATATTTTACAATAACATGCAAATTTTTTTAAACACACAAATATATCTATTAATTCTTTAATTCTATATTAAATTTTCCTTCTGTTCTATATAAAATAAGTAAAGCAATTCAAATAGAGAATGCTTTAATGTTCATAGGGCTGGATTAAATTTCTGAAAGATTCTAAAGTCCCCCCCCCCATAGAATATGTCTAATAATTGAGTTGTTTAAAAATAGACCTTGCTATAAAATGCAAATCTACTCAGATGACTTCCCTCTTTGAAACCCTTATCAACTACTTAGTTACGATTCATGTAGGCCTAATTCCTTTTCTTTTTTTTTTCTGGGGTGGGGTGGGGTACTGGAGATTGAACCCAGGGGTGCTTAACCACTGAGCCACATCCTAGCCCTCTATATATTTTTATTTTGACACAGGATCTTGCTAAGTTTCTTAGAACCTTGCTAAGTAGCTGAGGCTGGCCTTGAACTTGTGATCCTCTGTCTCAGCCTCCTGAGTTACTGGGATTACAGGCGTATGACACCACAGCCTCCACCTAACTCCCTTTTCTAACCTCATCTTCCAGCACCCTGGCCCAAAGACACTGAGCCTTAATCCTTCCAACCTCACAGGTCTCAGAACTTGACAGGTGCTTTTACATCTTTGTGTCTTCTTAAGTGATGGATGGGCCCCTGCCTGAAAGGGATTTTCCCATCCCAAATTTTTGGAAGATTTATGGACTGCTACCCATCACCCACTCTGAAATCTCTCAGTTTCAGAGTATCCCAAAAATCTATACCTTCATAGACAGGTCACAAAGACTTACAAGTAAAAACAGTGCCATTTTGTTAAAATATCTATTTACCTCAGAGTCTCCCAACCAGTCCACAAATTCCTAAAAGTAGGAATTTTATCTTTTCATATATCTGTCTTTAGCAACAAGTACATCATTTGGCACACAGTGAGCATTCAAGACATTTTATTATGCAAAAGAGGAAGAAGAAAGGAGGAGGGAGAAAGAAATAAAAAACCTACGGATTCCAATGTTCTTTTGAAATCCTATAAAGACTGGAAAACATGATGGGAAGGATGACATTAGAGTTTTCTTCTATCAAACTCATGATGTATTCATTATTCCAATAATAGAGTGCCCTTTCTGCCACCTTTGGGAAAAGAAAAAGATAACGATATAATAAGTTATAATCTTTCCAAATAAAAATATTTTAAAATCATTCAATCAAAAGTAAAAATTAAATGTTAATCACATTTTACATTTTTGTGGATTTAAAATCTCTAAAAGTTGCAAAGTAGTTCATCAATTAAGAGAAGGCAAAAAATACTGTTTTTCCTGTTATTTATATTCTCCTTTAATTTTACCCATCTCATCTGACTCCTCATTTTCCCCTACACAGCTCTCACATTCCAAGTATCTTTACACTACCTTTGCATACTGCACTATTTTCCCATCACTTGACCCCATCTTAGAGATCCCCTTTCCTGGCTCACCTCTCTCATCCCACATACTTCAGAGCAACCACATGGCCTAGCATATGGTTGGTATTCAGCAACAGATGCACAGGAAAATCCACAGGTGCCCATCCCTGTAGAGTAACCATGTTCACTAAGCACCTCCTGTAGCCAGACAATGAGCCTGCACTGCAGGTACAATGTACTATCCTCACCAACATCCAAGAAGTAGGTTTCAAGAGGTTTAGAGAGATCAGGTAATCTATCCAAAATCATACTGCTAGTAAATGCTTAAAGCTGTGGATGCTTAATGCTTAAAGATAGCTGCTTAGTTTCTGGACTCAGAGGCACTGGCTGCATCAACATTAGCTTGCTCTCTTAGATTTCTATTCTCTGCCCACCACATTACCAATTTAGTCTGTTGGGCCTGAGTTGCACATCTTAGATTTTATGAATTCATACAGATTAAGAAATTATGTCTTACAAGAGACAAAAATGGTACAAGATGACCCTATCAATAGACTGAAAAATCAGAACCTTTCCATTTGGATTATTTCACTTGGTCCAATAAAATTGCTAGGATTCACTAGGTGCTAAACGTTAAAAATACAGAGAAAGCAATCATTATTGAATGTTCACTATGTGTCAGTTACTGCGCTAAGTGTTCCACTCCTTTTAAACTTTACAACCAACAGAGTTGGTACCATTATTTCTATTTAGCAGATGAGGAAACTTAAGACTTGGAGAAGATAAGCCATTAGCTCAGGGGCACATGGCTAGCAAGTAACAGGATCCGAAGTCTCTGCTCTTAACTTTCTTAGTTTGTTATCCCTAAGGTGTTGATAGCCTGGTAGGGGAAAGAGGCATCTATGATCCTATCCAATATAAACTGTGACAGAGGCTATATCAGATACCATTTTTAAAACTACCAGAAGAGTGAGCAGAATAAATAGTCTGCAGTGAATGAATTATCTATCTATATATACCAAACAAAGGCCATGTGAGGACAGAGTAAGGAGGCAATGTGCATGACAGAAAGCAGGACTTCACCAGAAACCAACCATGCTAGCACTCTGATTTCAGCTTTCCAGCCTCCAGAACTATGAGAAAATGAATCTGTGTTTAAGTCACTTAATTGGTGTTATTTTGTTATGGCAGCCTGTGCTACCATAGACATTATCTCTCCTTTCTAAGCTTCTGAGCATCATTTAAACCTCCCCAGTGATACCCATTTAAAAGAAAACCTGGTTCCTTGACCTCTTTTACACTGAACATCCTGATGAAAAGGAAAAAACAAGGTGAATAATCCAGATGTTTGAGCATTACAGGTGCAATATGCAAATCATCTATATACTGTTCTGCAGTTTTCTATTTTTATCCAGATATGTATTATGTCACCTCAATAGTTCATGTAAATGGTCTCTACTTGTTTTCTTCCACTTTCTTTGTAGCACAAACATTAGATTCTTGTAAGATTGCTGCTTTGACAAAATGATGCATCTCTACGTCAAAAATTAAAACAACAGGGCTGGAGTTGTGGCTCAGTGGTAGAGCACTTGCCTAGCATGTGTGAGGCACTGGGTTTGATTCCTAGTACCACATAAAAATAAGTAAATAAAAGCATTGTGTTCATCTACAGCTTAAAAAAAAAATTAAAACAGCAAGAGCCAACCTCTCTGCCTCTGCTGGATAATCACAACTAAAGGGAAAGTTCACATCAAATGACTCCATTTGAAATGTGCTTTTGTGCTGCAAACCACAATCTGAACAATCTCTTCAAAGTGACAAGCAGTCAATCCTCTACGTTTATGAGATGAAACTTCAGTGAGACAGCCAGGGGATTAAAAAAAAAACACATGTTTTCAACCCTGATTCCCATTTCTTTTCTCCTATGTGGGTTCCATAGCACTGCAGCAAGGGCTCCACCATTGAAAGCAGGTGTCAAGGTCGGCCTCCCCCATGCTCTCCCTAAGTGGCCACAAGGAGGCAGAGCAGCCCATGTGAAGGTCATGGGCTTCAGCAAGAAGCTACAGTTAAGATCAAAATTTAACTCCATGCCCTATTAATTTGGAACTTTGTGCAAAGCATTCTCTGAACCTCATTCAAAAAATGGAAAAGAGCCTCAGAGGATAATAATGTACATAAAGCACAGTATAGAAAGAATGTTAGGGTCATTTTTTTTTCTCCTAAGTATTATTCAGTCTTCTAATAGATTCAAGAACCCAACCAGCCCACTTCGTACTCAGTAATTTCCCTGAGATAAGTTATAGTAATTTCCCTGAGATAAGTTATTCCTATCTGTAAATCTGTTTAAACAAACAAACAAAAAACAGAATGCCTTCCTTGCAGGGTATTTAGGAATTCAAGAAGGCACCATTACAGTAGCCATTAGGCAACAGGTACTCAAGATAGGGTGGCTGTTAAGAACTGTTATGTGAGAAAACTCAAATAAAAAGCAGCAAATAAAACAACAAACAAAAACTAATATTTTTTTTTTAAAAGCAGCTGTCATTCATTACATCTCCTTCAAGACAAGTGAAATCAAACCAAAACAATTCATGTTCTACAGGACACTCTTGCTCATGTCCTCTTTACTACCAACCTGAAAATGGGGACTAGATACACACTTGGCAATTTGTTTAAACAAAGGTTCTTGAATTTTAACAAATTGTGAAGGTTCAATCACATCCAAAATTTCTTCCAGCTCCCCAAGGAACATGACCTATAAGTAGAAGCAAAACATAAATGAGAGGCACTTAATTTAAAAATCAACATGATTGTTGATGATTAATGATAGTTCACCCCACTTTAAGAAAAACATACACATAAAACCAAACAAACATGCATATCCCATTTTACAAAGAATTCATACCATAGGATATACGTCAAAAGTTCCCTACAACACTGAAAACAGAATCCAACCTAGTTTGAAAAAAGCAGTCTACTCCTACACATGCCAGGGAATAAGGAGCACTCACATACTGCACCTGGCCTCTGGGAAACAGGACTCTCCCAGCAGGCTTTCCTCTCTACTGCTAGCAACCTAGCTATCTCCACCTCTCTTACCCCACCTTTTTTCAAACAATGGGAGGGGGGCCTATGGTATGGACAAGTAGAAATACACAGTGGTACAGGCAGTCATTTGCCAAGCAAATGTGGTCTCTGCTACTGCAGTAAGTACTCCTATAGGATACACCAATTAACAGAATAGAAAAAAGTCATATGAACAACACAAATGAGCAAACTCACCCACATGAAGGTATCACATAAACTTGTCAACAAACACTGACCCCATTCTATGTACTTGCACACATACACATAAGCTCTTTAGAGAGCACAGTGAATCTCATGGCTTCAGCACTATGTGCCTAGTGACCAGCACTATTAGGTTATAAGATGAAACAGGAATAATAGTTGATTTGGTCAAATATATTAAATATAATGAAAAAAATGATAGAAATAAAAGTTTACCTAAAATTCTCACAAAATATAAACCTAACAGCTGAACTTGGTTTCTAGACCAGGTTCTACGTAGTTTTAACCTTTCAGCAGAGTGACTAAAGATCTGGGGCAGATTCAATTAGGCTCACCTCTAAGCTGCATGCTTGAGAATTCACTTCCCAAAACCTCACACTGTGTTTGTTCCTGCTTAGGTCTCAGCAAAGATGCAAATGACTGTAGGTCAGAACCTTCTAGAGTTACTTGTGAATGAAACCAAAGGCTATTATATAATTTAAGATTATACATATTAAGATCCCATCCATACTGTGTTTTAAGAAGCATGTGAGAAGTTTGCTATAGCATCTATAGTGACAGCAAAATCTACATACTACGAAGGGAATGACTAGGAAGGGAACAACAGAATTGACAACTGAACATATAAAATGGGACTTCATCTGGAGTTACCTGAGACCAAGCAACACAGTGGATAAAAGTCTCATGATCAGGAGTTAGGGAGGTGGTTTCTGATCAACTTACCTGTTCTTAGCGTGCTTGAGTGGGCTACTTCCTTCCCTTCTAAGCCTCAATTTCATTATTAATGAAAGGAGATGGACAGTCCTGCCTCATAGAGCTACAAATGAGCTTTGGATGATGTATATTTACATATTTAGCTCAATGCCTGGCACTTGGCAAAGCACTTAGTAAGCTATTGTTACTTCTTGACACTAAGCACTTACCTCTTTTTGACTGCATGTTTTAGGCCAAAATTTCATTAATCCCCTAATAACCTAATAAGAAAGGAGAAAAAAACATGTGGCATTTAATTTTTCCTACTACTTTCAGGAAAAGTTATTTTTCTTAAAGTTAAGTTCTGAATTGAGAGGAAAAAAACATTACTTACTGGTTCTGTGAGTGAAGGATCTTTCTCCAGAAACTGGACTATACAATATGCCAACTGAAGAAACAAAATATGAAAGACAAAATTGTGAACTCTTATACTAATAGCTCAAAATATAAAGTATTAAAACTTCCTAAAATGTCTCCAGACTCTGGTCTTAACTGCACTATGAACTCATTTTAACTATTATAAAAATAAAATATATCAAGCAAAATATAAAGCTCTTTTTCAAAAAGAAAAAGCTACGCTGTGTTGCCCAGGTTGGTCTTGAATTTCTGGGTTCAAGCGATCCTCCTTCCTCAGCCTTCTGAGTAGGAACTACAGGAGGGCAACATAACACCCAGCTAAAAGCTACTTTTTCTAGCCAAAGACAAACACTAAAAAGGTTCCAAGAGAATTTTTTTTTAAGAGTATTGAGACATGAAGCATCTTCAGCTAATGAAAAGCAGAAGTGAAACATTACATTCAGTATATTCTAAAAATATCACATTTACATACTATTAGGGCTTATCTCATGGGCTTTCTTTCTCTTTTTGCTAACATCAATAGTACTAGGTTTTACTGTGTTTTTCAGAAGAATCCTACAGGGGAGGAAGGCACTCTCTCAAGACCCAGCTGGTTGCCTGCAATGGCAAGCAAACTTAACAATTTCACAAAGAGATAAAAGGCTGTACCTGTCACAGTTAAGAACCTAGAGAAATGCAGAGTCCCCATCTGATACTAATATATCTAAGAAAAAATTCTTTTAAATGATCACAAAATGTGATAGCCCATTACAAAAAACTAAATGGCAATGTGTGAAGGGCTTGTTAAGATTCTTAAACAAGAAATCCACCCTCACAAACACCAACATTTTGATAGTATTCTAAATTAGAAATATAATAAATTAATTTTTCCTCAAAACAGATTTTCACATTTAAAGAGAAACATTATGTATAAAATTGCTACATTTTTATGCAAACTAATAGCATTTCCACTGGAAGGAGAAGGGAATCAGAGGTTTGAAATACTAAAATTAAAAATACCCCTAGATCATCTGCCTTCTAGTGACATGCTTACCATGCAAGGTAGTGTTCACACAGAAACTAGAATGGGGACAAGACGGGATATGCTTTCTAAAGTAATGAAGGTTTTTTTTAAAAAAAGTAAAAATTTTGGAAACTTGTTTACTTGTGAGAATGTTCATTTCTGTGTGCAAAGTGAAAAAGAAATGGTGAATGAAGTAGAAGAGGGGACAAAAGGGCAACTAATGAACCAATGCAAAGTAAGGTAGAACAAAATATTCAAGAACATTAAAAAAATTATTACACAATGTCCAAAGATCTGAATCTGAAGAGCCCACATACATTCTATTGTAGGCAATATGTTCAATATCTGTGTGAACTTGGGAAAATCATCAAAAAAAAAAAACAAGACTGAACACCAGCTGCCCCCACCTTATAAATATTCCCACAGTTCTTCTGTAAACAGAAAAAAATAATTTATACATTCTAATTATCATCAGGGAGTATTTTTAAACTTTAATGAGACTTGTTTTTTTTAATAAAGGAAATATCAATATCAAAACCACTGAGTTTGCAAACTTTTTATCTTGCTTCAAAAGTAATTGCACTTTAAAATTCTACCTGGGCGTGGAAGAGTGATAAGCTCCTGACAGTGTGTAAGGGGATCAACACTTTCACCAGAAACTGTTTGTGTTCTGCCTTAAGAGGTAAAGCAAAGCCATTGATAATACTAGGAAAAAGAAAAGAGACACAAATTAGCAATGTTACCACAACACTTAAGACCAAAAGAAACCGTTCTGTGAGCCTGGTTAAGTATTAATCAGTTGTTTGTCCAGAACCATAACCAAAACCAACCAGTGGAATTCAAGACTTTTTAGTTACTTCAAAGAGTTCATTTAAGTAGGAAGGAAGTTTAAGAGAAGTGAATTTGCTTATGATCACCCAACAAAGGCTCCAGTGCTCTTAAAATTAGTCCAATGGTTTCCAAAAGATTTTTATAAAAAGCCCTAACTTTTTCCTTCCTCCTTCTTTATCTTCCCCATATGATGCCTGCTTTGCTAACTTCCTCCTTTAATATATCTCTTTCTTTTTCCAGATATTATTCCTCTCATTCCTGAAATCTCTGGCCAACCTTGGGAGGTCAATGGGAGAAAATTGGGTGAGTTTCACTTTCTTTTTCTCCTCATATCAAGAGGAAAAACTAGGTTATCCCATTGTCCGGCAACATTAGGCTGTGTCTTTTCAATTTGTTCCACTCTGCCAGGCAGCAGATGTTCCAGAACTACACCTGGGTACATAGTTCCACTGAAAATGGCCAATTTTCCCAATCTATTATAAACTTGCTTTCAACAGATATGGCAAAGGAGGGGTAGCCTAGAAACTATGCTTATAAAATAGAATGTTTTGGTGTGACTGGCCTGACTACAATTATATATTATCTCTATAGTAATAAATGAACTTTTGGCTTTTTCAATCATTCCAGAGGAATGAGCAATGCATAATTATGGAACAAGAGGAAGAGGAAATAGTGTAGAGTAGAGTTGGGAAACATGCTAGGCACAAATGAGAGAGAACCAGAGTATATACAGTAAGAGACCTAGGCCAGCATTTCTTTGTGCCACCTGAACCCAATCTTCAGAATAATATTCACCTGAGATAAGTAATTTCATAGAAAGAGCTTACCTTCCTAATATTTCCAGAAGTTCAGCTACACCATTGAAGTGTTCTGTTTCATAAACAAACCTTAAAACAGAAGAGAGAGGAGAGGGCAGGAAAGGAAGGAGGAAAGGAAGGAAGTGAGTTGGAATAGTCAGTACACTATGTTCAAATATTGGAGGCTTATTTAATATTTCTATAAAAACATCAACTTTGCATATCCCGATCCCCCACACTCCACTTACCTTAGAAAAATATTGTTAATCTGTTTTCGGATAAATGCTCTAAGACCAAGAAACTTGCCATAAATTCTATGTAGAACTGTTTTTAAGTAGTCTCGTTCCCGAGGGTCTTCACTGTCAAATAGCTCCAAAAGCTGTGGGAAATCAAAGACAGTACAGCTGTCAAAAGCTGTTTCGGGAAAGAATTTAGGCATATGATCATTCATTATTTAAAATCCCTCCCTTCATTTCTTCCTTCCTCAACAAAAGTATTTACTATCTATTATGCGCCAAGCACTGTGTTAATCCAGGAATATAGTGATAAACAAGTCAGACAAAGGGCTTCTCTTGCAGTGAACAGAAACACAATAATAACAATAACATTAATAATAATAGCCAACACACATAGCATTTACTATAATTATCAGGCACTTTTCTAAGCAATCTACACATCTGAATTCTCCCAATGAAGTAGTTTTTATATGTCAGTTTTACAGACAAGAAAACTGAGGTATAGAAAGGTTAAGTAACTTCCTCATGATATCAGAGATAATAAGTAGTAGAGTTAGGATCAGAACCCAGTCAAGGCCTGAAGTCCATAACCTCAAAACAGTGTTTATGCTACCTACTAATCTTATGTTCCAAATATACAGTTAGGATAAACTTTCAGCTCTACCAGAACATAAGGTAAAATATCGAAAGTCCCCAGGAGGGCTGGGGATATAGCTCAGATGGTAGAATGCTTGCTTTGCAGGCACAAGGCCTTGGGTTCTAATATTTCATTGTGTATATATACCACAATTTCTTTATCCATTCATCTGTTGAAGGGCCCAGTTATTCTTTTAGGAAGAATGCCATTTGGTAAACTGTCTAAAATGCTCTTCAGTTTTTCATATTAAATTTGAGACTGAACTAGATAGTTCAATCCCACAAAGAAAGGGGAAAAAAAGGCCCCAGTGATACTTGTAATATTCTTTTTAGATCTGGGTTCTTGTTACATGAGTATGCTCATTATAAAACTGGTTCATAACCCACTTGAATCAAATGTATGAAATATGATATGTCAAGAACTACGTAATGTTTTGAACAATAATAAAAATTAAAAAAAGAAAAAAAACAGTCATCAGAAAGAATATTTATTGTTTTAGTATATATGTTATAAGTGAATAACATATTTATGTTCTCAATCCTTTATAACCTTAAGTTAATAATAGAATCCTGATAATATCACATCCACATACTCATAATGAGATCCATGCCTTCAAGACATAGTCCAAAAGAGAAAATGAGCTAAGGCTCAGGTCAAATGACAGTGTACACTACAGATTCAACTCATTCCCTGTCAAATGCTTTGACTTTACAGAAATTGACTAGTTGATCCTGTAATTTATGTGAAAATACCCAGGAGAACCAAAACAATCTTATGAGGGAAACTTTTCAATTTCAAAACTTAGTGTAAAGCTTCCAGTAACTGACAGAGTGTGATACTGTCAGGACAGACAGGCAGATCACAGAATAGAACTGAGGATCCCAAAATAATCCCTCAAATTTACAGTCAAACAATTTTCAGTGAAGATGCCAAGATAACGCAATGCAGAAAGAATAGTCTTTTCAACCAGTAGTGCTGATAACATTTGGATTTCCACACACAAAAGAATAAACCTAGATCCCTACCCCACACCATATAGTCAACCCAAAATGGATAATTAAACCTAAAGATGTGAGTTCAATGCAAAAATGGAAAAAGGACAGTTTTTGAATAGACAAATCACAAAGAATGTATACAAATGTCTAAAAACACATGAAACAGTTATATATTTCACTAATCACTACAGAAATGCAAAAGAAGAAGATACTACTTATTTGACAGCTCTAATTTAAAAGGGGGGGTGATACTGCTACATCGACATGCCAGGGATGGTTCTTGTTGATGGGCACACACAAAGTGTTGAACGAACTTGGAGCTCACTATGAGAGGCAATGAGCAAGTTAAAACATTTCATGTACAAAAGAGAGGCCTAGAATCCCACAGCCTCCCCACCCAACCCTTACTCCAAAAAAAAAAAAAAAAAAAAAAAACAGAAGACCCAAATGGATTCAGTATATTTTTATGAACTTGCTCAAATTGACAAAAGGTATCTGACCCACCCCGTTTCATTCCTTATTAATAGAAATGATTAACTTTTCAAGTTCTAGTTTTTTCATTTGGTTTCTGTTTTTAAGTGTTGCAAAAGGGTTTAATGACTAATTTGCAGCCAACATAAGAGAAGGTTTGAGGGGGTGTAATCTTAGAAAACTTGAATCAACTATGCTTATGAAGTTAATCTTAAGAGTTTAATAAACATATCATTAAATAAAAATTATTTAACTAAAGTTTTCATTAAGTTCTTGTAATGGTTAGGACTTGAACCTCATCACTGAATTAGTCCATTATGGATTCAGAGCTGAATGGACAACTGAGAGAGGACGGAAACAGGAGGAGGTGGAACCTAGGTTCAAGGGAACTAGTTCTGGGGGTGTGTCCTAATGGTCCCTGGTTGCTGGCTTGTGCTCTCACTCAAGCTCTTAAGCATTCCCATGCTCTCTCACCTTCCCAGCAGACATGAAGGAAGCAGCTCTGCTCTGCTACATGCTCCCCATCATAATGTTGTGCCACAAAATAGGTCCACAGTGACAAAAAGCTAAGACAGTTCTCAAAGTATCACCAGGTCTCAAATTAGTTATTTACAAGGCACAAATATTAATTGTATCCTGTTCTATGAGAAAGGAAGATAAACTACAATATTAAACTACTTTTCTCGTGCTCTATAGAACATAATTTTGATGATTTTATGATGTATAAGACAAAAGAGAAAGTATAATAAGCATAGATACAAAAGTGGATTTCTGTAATAAAACACAAATGTAACAGAAAAACCAATAAGAAATATTAACTTGACATTTATAAATGCCTAGGTGAACTGTGCCATCCACAATACAACAAGTAATTTGTTGTTAAAAGAAAAACAAGAGTTCCAAGGTGATTAAAGAGTAAAGACAGAGCTGTCAACATACTGACTTCAAAATTAAAAAGAAAAAAAGCACCTTTCCCGAAGCTAACAAGGATGAATTGCATAGTGTTTTAGCCAAAGAATCCTTATTTGAATGTCATAATAAACCCATAATGAAATGAGGAGGACTGTGCCTTCCATTTAGACATGGAGAACTGAAACTTTCCTCATAAAACCTCCCTGAAATGACACTGAAAGAAAAACAATGGAATAAACCCAAAGAGCAGAGAAGACCAGAGGACAGCAGATCAGACATGCTTGCAGATTTTTCACAGATTGGAAGTCGATGACAAGAGGTAACCATCTTAGGATTTCTGTCACACCATTCTGCTAAGTGTTTTTCCATTTTGTAGAAAGGGAGGAAAGCTAACAATGAGCATGCCAATTTACACCAGAGATTCTTAAAGGCTTAAGAATTGAAGGCCTGCAGATATATTTGACAATCAGTATATGAGAAATATAAAAACAGGAGGACTGGTTGAAAGTCTGTAGAAGGAGACACGAGGCCCCTGGATCCCTGTCCCATGCAGCATTATAAAGAACTCCATTTAAGTCTAGAAAGAATAAATGACCAAGCATCTACTCTTGGAGCTTCACACACTGCTAATGAAGCATTTACTGAAAATAACAAGATTAAATAAAACCCTGCATACTTAAGAGTAAGATCTTTTCCATCCTTCCCTAATTAGGCTCTCAATTTTGGATAAGGCAAGAAATCAAAAGATCTCTTTTGGGGGAAACTAATAGCCTGAAGAGGAAAGACCTCCAGATAAACCAACATCTGAAGGGTTCTCAGTAAAAAAGGTAAGATCCTTGCCAAATTATCCCATTGAAAATCACCACCTGCTAAGTGTCACACAACTGTGGGCACATGCATGCTTGCGTGTACGTATACACACACACACACACACACACACACACACACACATATACAGGTTCCAATTAACTTTTTTTTTTAAGAGAGAATGAGAGAGGAGAGAGAGAGAGAGAGAGAGAGAGAGAGAGAGAGAGAGAGAGAGAGAGAGAGAAAATTTTAATATTTATTTTTTAGTTCTCGGCAGACACAACATCTTTGTTGGTATGTGATGCTGAGGATTGAACCCAGGCTGCACGCATGCCAGGCGAGCATGCTACCGCTTGAGCCACATCCCCAGCCCTCCAATTAACTTTTTGATGAAATAATATATAATGATGACTACAAGATCAAAAATCACCAGAATTATAACATAAAAGACCAGAAAACAAAACAAATTTAGGGAACTCAAGAGGAAACAGACACCATGCAAGGAGTAGAAAAAACCTGCAAAAAGGAACCTCTAACAGTCTCAGAGACAAAACAAATACATTGGATCCCTGAAACAAAAACAGTGCTATTACAGATAAACATTCAGAAAATTGAAAAGAGCTTTTAGAAATTGAAAATATAATGTGAATAAAAATTTCAGAAGGACTAGAACATTAAAATTAGCAAATCTACCCCCTCAGAAGTAAAACTAAAGAAATAGCATACAAAAGGAAAAAAGGATAAAAAAAAATCAAAGGGTTGATCCAGAAATTCTGATACATTAGTAAAAAGCTATCCAGAGAATCACAGGGACAGAAAACAGAAAATTATCTGAGGAAGACATCAATTCAACACAATTTTCCAAGGGGGGAAAAAAAGACGTATAGTTATAGCTCATTGGATGCTATACACAATGAATAAATTCCCACACTAAGGAATGTCACTTTGAAGTCTGTGGACTTGGGAACAAAGAGAAGATCTCAAAAGGTTACAGAGAAAACTGATCATTGTAAAGGATAAGGCATTCTGCTGGCCCACACCTTCTTGATTCAAAAATGGAAGCTAAAAGTCAATGGAACAATTCTGTAGCAGATGAATAGAATGATATAAATTTATACCTACCCAAAATGTTAATCAAGTATGTGGGCAGAACAAAGTTGTTTTCATACAAGCACTCCGTGAAAATTAACATCTCATTCATGCTTTCTTAGGAATTATCTAGAAAGAGAAAAAGTTAAGAAAGAAAAGGCATGGCCCAGAAGAGTGGCAAAGGAAGTCTCAGGATGACCACAATGGATATAGCCTAGGGGGATGCCACCAG